GGAGGTGGTGGAAGGCGGAGTCGGAGGGGGCGAAGATGGTGAGGGAGTGGTGGCTTTGGAGGGTTTGGGAGGCGAGTTCCAGGTGCAGGGCCATGCGATGGAAGCCGGCGGTGGCGAGGATCTCCGCCGCGTCGAGGAGGGGGGAGGCGGCGGAGAGGGAAGGGAGAAGGAGGAGAGAGAGAGTGAGAGCGAGGAGTGTAGTGGAAGCCATTGGTTGTTGACTTGTTGCTGAAGGAATGATGAGAATTGAGAAGTGAAGAGAAAGGAGAGATTGGAATTTCACATTTGGCGGCAAATTTGGTTAGTTCAGTTAGGAGGTTGGAATTTCGTTGGGACCGTTTTGGTTAAGAATTAGAATGGGCTGGGCTTCCTCATTTGGGCCAGCCTAGGAAAAAAATACATTTTTTATTATATGGACTTTTTCAATAATGTTTGATGGGAGGAAATAGAAGAAAATGGAAGAGAGCAAAACTTCTTTCATCTAATTTTAATTTCCTATCAACATTAGGACTTAGGAGGATTTGGAGGGAAGGAGATAGAATTTAAAATAATTTTCGTATAATGGTCAAAATATGTTTATGTTTTTTTAATTTTAAGTTATAAAGATGTAGAGATAAATTAATTTTTAAAATTTATTTCCTCCTCTTGTAAATTAAACAAGAAAAAAATTATTTTCCTTTCATTCCTTTCAACTAAATAAAAGTTTTGACTTCTCTCCTCTTCTTTACACGTTCTTTTCACTTTTCTTCATTAAAATTCCTCTTTTCCTTTGAATTAAACATACTGTTATTATATCCAATATAAATGAAAAAACAGTTATTTGTAGATTTGTTTTTTGGGCAGAATATACATTGTCATAAAATTATTATATGTTTTTTTTTTTGGTTCGTCCCTGGAGTATCCACCGCCGATAGCAGTGACTAATTTTCTCGCTACGTTGGAGGCACCTCAAAGGGTGGGATAGCTGGCCCCAAGATTTAACGCGGCTGCATACACAAGGCAAGATTCAAATTCTTATATGTTTTTAATGTACGGGATGCTTTTTTAATTGTAAACATACAAAAATAAAGTACAAATATACACAGTTGTAAAATTTAATATTATGCTTTTTATATTTTTGGTTAAAACCCTTATTTGGTCCCTTATAATACTTTTTTGTTTCAATTTAGTCTCACTTTAATTTTTGGTTTCAATTTGGTCCCCAATAATTTAAATTATTGCAATTTGGGACTTTCGTCCAAATGATTTAAACGGAATTAATTGTTGGCCACGTGGATGTCAGGTGGATGCCACGTAGATGCATAGGTGGACGCCAAATTTCATGAATACACCTGAAACCAGAACGACCTGTTCTGCGTGCACATGTTATGTGTTAATTTTGCAACTGGAACGGGCCGTTTCAAATGCAAATTTAATACACCATGAGTGCATCAGAACGGGCCGTTCTGAAATCAGAACGGGTTGTTCTGGTGTTAGAAAGGGTCGTTCTGGATTCAGAACGGCTCGTTCTAGAACTCTAACTTCATGCATGCGTCGACCAAAATGCTGCAATGTGATTCAAAAATTGAAAATAAAAATTCATAACATATCATAAATTCAAAGACAGAAACATGGTTCAGAAACTGAAAACAAAAATTCAGAACATAACATATACTAAAAAAGTTCAAAGAAATTACTGAGAAAGGAAATCATCTGGGTAACGTTGAAGGGAAACCTTAAATCACAAAAATTCAAGTTGTACTTCCTCAAGAACAGGTTGTTATTGTTGGGGTACATCGTCAATGACTTCAAGAGGAAACATCGTTTTGTTTCATCCTTGACTGTATAGTGTTAATTTGGTAGTAAGTAGTTCACTCCAATTTGACTAACAATGAAATAAAATCTGCTACCATTGTCCTTAGTGATACACTACATCGTCCTTAATAATACATTGTATAGCCCAAATGTTTAGCAATTGAAGTTATCAATCCCATTGACAATATTACCAAATCTAGTGTTTGAAATGCTTTGTACCTTGGGTCTTTTTCCTTGCACGATTCACAATCGTGAACTATAGTCATGACCATTCTAGAACCAGAACAACCCGTTCTGAAACCAGAACGACCCGTTCTGAAACCAGAACGGCCCGTTCTGGTTACACTATTGGTGTGTAAAGTTTGCATCTAGAACGGCCCGTTCCAGGTACAAAATTTACACACCAAGAGTGCAACTAGAACGGGCCGTTATGGTTTCAGAACGAACTGTTCTGGTTCTAGGTGTATTCAAGAAATTTGGCATCCATATACGTGACATCTATGTGGCATCCACCTGACATCCACGTGACCAACAATTAACTTTATTTAAATCATTTGGACGGAAGTACCAAATTGCAATAATTTAAATTATTAAGAACCAAATTGAAATAAAAAATTAAAGTGGGACTAAATTGAAACAAAAAAATATTATAAGCGACCAAATAAGAATTTTAACCTATATTTTTTCTTCCATCAATTTCAGTCTCTCTTATGCATTGTTTGGAATGTAGGAGGAGAGATAAAGAGACATGTAAGGATGCGTATGCATTTTTCAAAATATTTTCCTTCCTTTTTGTTTGATACGTATGAAAATAAGAAATGAGAGAAAAAAAGTTGCACGTCACACGTTAAAATTGGTTCCCTCCAATTTAGGGGGAAAAATCAACAAAAAGGAGTAAAGAAACATAAAATTATTATTATATCCTTTATATTACATCATATACAAATAAAAAAAAAATACTAAATTGTCCGAAGGTAAATTCCGAAACATCCTCCAAACGGTTAAATTTTTTAAAAAGTCAAATATTTTATAAATGTTTGGAAAAATTTTCGAATGATTATTTCAGAGGATATAACATTACTCTAAATAAAATTACTATATCTAATTTTTATTAGTCATTTTTATATTTTATAAATATAATTGTTTTTTTTCTCTTATTTTTTTTCTTCAAACCCTAAATCAAATAATTAACCAAGTTTATTAACTAGGTGATTGTAAGGTGTATCTTAGGACACGAGGTATGGACTTGGTGTTCCTATGAACTATTCCTACAGTTTTAAGATAATGATTTGTCAATAAAATTCATGTCTCATGAGTATAAATTAATATTTTCTTACAAATTTCTCTCTTTTATGAGATGTGAGAAAATTATTATTTAATATAAAGAAAGTGATGTCTTTTAACACTTTAATAGGAGTTCTTATAACTTTAGAATATGAGAGAAGTTCATAAATGTGAGTATAGATATGATAAAGAAAAAAAAAAGGTTTAAATATAATTTTTGACCCTATAATTGATATTTTTTACTTTTAGTTTCTATAAAAAAAAATTTTAGTGTTTCATTTCTAATCTTTTATAACATTTCAAAAATAGTTATTACCGTCAACTTCTATTATAAAAAAAATCTTATGTGACAACAAAATATATATTATATTTGTTTTATTCCACTTCACCATTTTCATGTAAGTAAATTGATTTTAATTTTTTTTAGACAAAATTTCAAAATGCACTTTATTGTTGTCACTTCATCGTACTTTTCATACATACTCTCTTTGGACCGTGGAATGTCATGTCCTGAGTATTGTAAGTGGTGAACTTGGACCACCAGCTTCTCTTCTTTGATGTGATACCCTACTTGTGGTGATGATCATGTTAGGTGACGACAATCTTGATGTCTTTAGTCAACCAATGCAATTTTCTTAGCCTTGGAGGAGGTGATATTGGCGCCAACACCAATGAAGTGGTGGATGCTCTTGCGGCACATGAGCTCTCTTATGATAGAAGACTAGCTTAGCGTGAGGTCGAACTCTTCCATGGTGAGATGGGGGTCGGTGGCGACCTTGCAAAGGCGGTGGTCATTAAGAACAAGATCGTAGCAAATTGTGAGAAGTTGCTCTTCATGGGGAGATTGGCATTGGATTTGGGAGGTTTAGGGTTTGCAATGTCGGATTTGGATAAAAAAAAAAGGGAAAGTGTGATTGCAAGGATAGAGGTGAGTGCAAGGGTTTGGATGCGATAATGTATTTTGAAATTTTGTCTAAAAAATATTAAAAATAATTTATGTACGTGACAGTAGTGAAGTGAAATATAATGAATATAATATGTATTTTGTTTGTCAAGTAAGATTTTTTTAACAAGAGTTGACAATAAAAATTATTTTTGAAATGTTATAATAGATTAAAGATGAAACAGTAACAAAAGTTTTTTTACGGGAACTAAAAGTGATGGAAGCATGCCTAGGAAGGCAAGGGAGAGTTAGGTGAAAAGTGAAAATGGCTTTTTGGCTTAGAAGGTTAACAAAATAAGGAAAATATGAATGTCTTGATCATATAGGTAAACAACATAAGCAAACCACCAGGGAAACTCAAGCAAAGTCTATCATGCAACTTAAGCGTAGTTCACTCATCAGTATTTAGGCTCAAACCTCACCCGGCTATGCATCCACAAACTATCAAACTCAGCTCAGTTCTGTGATCAACATTGAAACCCGTATGCAACTAGTCATGAACTAAAGATCTAACGTGACTTGAAAATGTCTAAGGTACACACACCATAAACATCAAGCAAACTACAATCCACAATCGACCACAA